CCCTCCCCCCCTCTCTCTCCCCCTCCCTTCCTCTCTCTCTCCCCCCCTCCCTCCCTCCCTCCTGAAGTCCTGAACAGAATTATCCTGAGTTTTGATGACTTGGATAATGTATTGTTGTACTTTTTGGTGGGAGGAGGACTTTAAGGACAAAACTGGTGTCTTAGATCTGGAAGATGCTTAAAGGTAAAGATTCCTCCTGTCCAGGCATGTCTGACTCTAGGAGACGATGCTCATCTCTGCTTCTTAGCTGAGGACGCCAGCCTTGTCTGAAGACAATTTCCATGGCCATGTGGCCAGCAGGACTATATGCCAAGGCGCATGGAACGCTGCTACCTTCCCACCAAAGTGGCACCTATTTAGCTACTCGCATTTGCATGCTTTTGAACTGCTAAGTGAGCAGGAGCTGAGGCAAGAACGGGAACTCACCCGCTCACACATCACTCGGGTCTCGAACCAGGCCTGTTAGCTTTCCAGCTGACAAGCTCAGTGTCTTTAACCGCTGAGCCATCGCGCCCCCGGAAGACACTTAAGGCACCCATTTCTCCCCTTCAAATATCCCCCCAAATGGCCAACTTGTCCGGTTCCCAGCTTATATTCAACTTCAGAAGGGAGGGGGACATATCAAAAAAAGGCAAGATGGGGCCCAAGTGCAGACTGGTTCACCCCTTTTCTATGTGCACCTGCTCAGGTTAAAAAAAAAAAAAAGAGCCAAACATTCCATCATGCAAGCAGGCTGGGGAATCCTGGGAGTCGAGGTCCAGATCTTTTCAAGCTGCCAAGACTGAGAAACAACAGCGAGATAGACCCTTCTGGTAGTTGCCATTTAGAAAACAGAGATTAGAAGAGAGAAAGGTCGTAAAACTGATCAGATCTTCATTTTTTTCCGGATTCCCCTTTCATTCTCCTATCGTCCTTTTCCCCGTTTCCCCGGATCTGTGTCTTTTCTGTGACGGAGCAAAATATCCTGCAAACAGCCAGCAATCTTGCCTACGTTACAGGGTGCATTTAATAGGCCTCTATTCCAGTCTAGCAGGTTTTTTTTAAAGAGATTTTTTGAAGTCCACACAAAGGACAAGTAAACGTGAACCCTTAAACCAGTTATATTTGCAGTGTTGTGTAAGATAAACAGGCTTCCTACCTATCTTCCTTTCATTTAGATAATGCTTAAGAGAAATTGCTGAAGGATCTATCAACCTGTGTTTTTTTCTAATGCAGCCAGTTTTAAAACATAAAAATTCTCCCGAGATAAGCTTATCTAGCCTGGTTGGTTTTTAAGAGGGGGGGGGCTTTTGTTTTCTTGGTAGACTCTTTGTTCGTTTGGAGAGTTTTGAAGCTAGCCTTGGTTCAGAATGCACAAATATATTTCCACTGGAGATTGCACAGCCTTAATTGGAACAGTATACAGTATTCCAAAATCAGGGTTTTCCAGGATTGCTCTGATTCCATTAGTTAAGAGATTAAAACTCCGCAATTACTCCCTGCATGCCAAGATTCGTCTGTTGCGATTTCTTCCACGTTCAAGTCCATTTTTAAAAAAAATGCAGCCCTTTCCATCCTTATTCAAATTCCCGCCCATCCTTCCCTCCTGAATTTATATTCAGTATTCTGCTTGATTTATCATCTGAAGATAATTCTGCCCGTTATTTCCACACACACACACACACCATATTTTCAATCTTCTGAGACCGGCCATGATCAGGAGGTTGCAAATGCAGAGCACATGACCTCGGGAGACTGACACCATCTTTAAAGGCCAGGACCGTTTAGTTGTCAGTCACTTTCTTTTCAGTGGCGTTGTAATTTTGAACGGTCGTTAAACGAATACAGGACTTCCTGTATTTGTGCTGCTTCGGTCACACCATTGTGCCCACCCAGTTGACTTTTAGACCTTCCCCTATAGCAGTGGTGGCGAATCTATGGCACGCGTGCCAGAGGTGGCACTCAGCGCCCTCTCTGTTGGCACGTGCGCCGCTGCCGCCAGCAGCAGGTCCATCAGGCCGCCACGGCCACCTGGAGCAGGAGCCCCGCCCAGCACAAAGGAGGCGAAGCGGCCGACTAGCAAGCTAGAGTAGAGGTGGTAGAGCAGAGGTCACCAACCATTGTCGATTGGCGGACTGGAAGAAAAGGGAGGGGGAAGCATTTTACATGCGCATGTGCGCGCAAGGGGCCGCAAGCACGCACGCGCTGCAAATGAGGCGGGGCTAGTGCCTGCGTGATACTCACTAGCCCTGCCCCATTCTTGCGTGGTGCAGCGCCTTGTATCTGCACCCTGCGGTGCGGACGCGGCCATTTTTTGCGCCTTGCAGCACGGTGGCCCATTTTTGTGCCCCTGGTTTTTGCGTGCCAGAGGCGGCACTCAGAGGCGCCTCCCTGCCCCCCTGAGGGCACCACAATGCTGATGGGCCCTGGGCACTTTGCGATAAATAAGTGGGTTTGGGGTTGCGGTTTGGACACTCGGTCTCTAAAAGGTTCGCCGTCACTGCCCTATAGAAATCCCTGCCCTAATGGCTGGGAATTATGGGATTCTGCCTCCAGGATATTTAGAGGGCACCAGAATGCCTACGCTACAATTAAATGTGGAATAATCTGACATTCTCCCTCTCCCAACCCAAAGCCAGGCAGCTCTTGATCCCTTCAGGAGCTTTAAATCCAGAGGATTTAACTCCCAAGCCCTGCAAAGCCGCCTGCTTTAATTCTCCCGATGCCCTGAAGCCTGGAGGGTGCCCACTGGTGCCAAGTGTAATTGGCAACTCGTTAGCAGCTCATTGAGAAGGCTGGAGGACATGTGATCAGAGTAGGATGCTTGACATCATCTGCTAAATCCAGCCAGATTCAGGAAGGAGGTGGGGGGGTGAGGAATTACAGAGCTTGGGAACAACTGCCCTATTATTAAGTGGTGTGAAATAGCACAGAATGGGAGCAAAGGAGAGAGAGAGAGAAAAAAAATATCAGTGCAATTCGGAATCAAGAGGGAGGGTAGGGGAAAGGGGCTTAAGGACCTCCAGGATAGCTAGAAGGCTCGTTCTCAACCTCTCCCCCAGGGGTGTCCAACCTTGGCAACTTGACGACTTGGAGACTTCAACTCCCAGAATTCCCCAGCCATATTTATAGTCAGGAAGGCTAGTGGTAGGGAAAAAAAACCAATTGCAACCAGCCTGCTTTCCATTGGGGACCTGTACAAGCCAGAAAGAGGCCTGAGAAAGTATCTATAGACCCCCTCACATCCTGGACATAATCTGTTTCGACTGCTCCCCCCGAGATGCTGCTATAGGGCAATGCATGCCAAAACAACTAGAAACAGAGACAGTTCCCCCCCCCCATGCCATCCCTCTGTTAAACGCACAGAATTCCCACAAGCACTGTCTTATGCCTACAGATATCTCACCATGTAGTAGGCCTGCATTACTATTATCCTTTTCATCTTTCCTATTACCTATTCCTATCTTATGACGGTCACTTGGTTGGCTGTATCTTATGACCTGTGATTACATCTTTTTATGATTTGTGATTTATCACTTTTGTTACTTGTATATACATTGAGAGCTTCTGCCCCAGAGACAAATTCCTTGTGTGTTTAATCACACTTGGCCAATAAACAATGTTCTATTCTGTTCTGTTCTGTTTCATTCCATTCCATATAAAGATTCTATTCTATTCTATTCTAATTCTATTCTGTTCTGTTCTAATTCTATTCTACTCTACTCTATTCCCATTCCATTCCATATAAAGATTCTATTCTATTCTATTCTATTCTATTCTATTCTATTCTATTCTATTCTATTCTATTCTATTCTATTCCCATTCCATTCCATTCCATTCCATTCCATATAAAGATTCCATTCCATTCCATATAAAGATTCTATTCTATTCTATTCTATTCTATTCTATTCTATTCTATTCTATTCTATTCTATCCCCTATGCTATCCTATCCTATCCTATCCTATCCTATCCTATCCTATGCTATCCTATATTCTATTCTGTTCTGTTCTGTTCTGTTCTATTCTATTCCATTCCATTCCAATCCTTATTTTGGAGAGATGGTTTCACGTATTGGGTAAAGAGTTGGAATAGCAGCAAGGAGACTCAGATCCACAGACAGACAGACAGACAGACAGACAAAGAGAGAGAGAGAGAGAGAGAGAGAGAGAGAGAGAGAGAGAGAGAGAGAGAGAGAGAGAGAGAGAGAGAGAGAGAGAGGAATTTATTCTCTTGGTACCGCCATTCTCCGATGGCATCAGACTATTTATCCTTTCACAGGGCTGCACAACAATCTCGTACCAGGCTTAACCAAGTCTGCGCAACATCAAACAGGAGCATTGCCACTGCATCCTATTTCTGTTAACTGGAATCTCGCTTGAACTTTCAGAGGCTTAATGTGTGTGCAAACCCAGCCTACATGCTTCAGTGCGGGTCCCGTATCTTTGAAAAAGCACAAAATTGGTTAATTTGAAAATCAGCTCAACCACATTGAGTCAACCCAATCCAGCCTGAAGGATTATATTTTGATTGAAAGGGCTAAAATTACAGATGCTGTCCCGAGTTTTCCACTGCTAGAGCTTCATC